GTGATCTTCCTCATTTTTGCCCATAAAACTTTCCCCTTGCCTCCACTTCTTTGCATACACCAATACTTTACTAAGCCAAGTGTATAGTCCCATTAGTCCCAAATAAATATCATTGTTCTTTGAAGAATCCCTCTCTGGTTGCTTTTTTTTCTTTTTGATTGACAGATTAATACTGAGCTACTGTACTGAAGTAGAAAACCAGAACTATTACATTATTATAGAAGGATGTTTGGGTCAGAATCTCATGGAGTTATGCAAATGGAAGTTCTATAATATAAATATGTACAATTTTATTTTTATTAAGATAAGATTTAATCAAATTCTACAGTTGTTTCCCTGGGGTAGCAGATATGTCTAGCCCAGGGCTTCCTTGCCACATTGTCTGAGAAATCTGCTTTTCTCTTACTAATTTTTTTCTGTCATCTAGTTCTGTCTCAATTCTGAGCCATCCTTGTAACACTAAGGTAGATTTCTTCAGTTAGAGTTTTCCAGGCACAGAGAGATAGCTACTCAATCACACTATAAATTTTTTGTCAGACAGGCATTGCAGCCCAAAACAACAGCAACAACAAAAATCCTGAATGTGTTTGGAGAAAATGAATGAATTTCGTATAGTTAAGTCTGGAAGTCAGGTGATATAGTATTTGTAGCTATCACCATTCCTGGCCAAACAATGCCTGTGGCCAACATTGGTAATTGATTATGGCAGTCCCCCAGCTACACGCTTATGACATTGTGAGTAGTTATTGCCAACTGTGAAGACTTGGCGCAGATGAAATCTCATCTTTTTCAAGCTAATTATGTTACATTTGAATTTCACCGCTCTCTGCTCACATGTGCATGGTCTGCAGAAAGTAGACCAGATGACTACTGAAACACAACAATGAGCGGAAACAGTGCTGTGGACCCATGATTTATGTTAGGGTATGTCCTGATAACCCATTGGAAAACAAATACTCAGGCAAGCCCTCCTAAATTGTGGCCAGCTCTAGCTAAAATGTGTCTTGACCTGTCTTAATTTTTACGACTATTACAAATTACGAGTAAAAGTTTTCTCCAGTTATTAACTGCACAAGCACAAATGAATGTCATGTTAGATTAATTCAGAAGACTGACTTGTAACATACTGGTTTGAGATTTCCTACTGGCCCCTGACCATTTCTGGTGAGACTCTTTTTAGCAGAAAACTGCCCTAGGAAACTTGGGGTTTAGCTACACATTACTTTTTTTAGAAAAACAAATATGATGGCAGCCTGTCCATGTTAGATTGCTAGTCAAAAATCCTTAGCTGAAAAAAAACATAACCATCTTTAGCTAGTTTTCCACTGTTTATCTAAAAATGGGATAAAACCCACTGCATGACCTTGAATTGATCACAATAAAAGGATCCCTTAATTCCAGGATCCTATCACTGCCCTTGGTACCCTTATCTCAAGTCTATTTGTACATGGTTGTGTTGTCTTTCCAAGGCTCCAGTAAAAAGTATCACAAACTTGGTACACTAATTTATTATTATAAGGTTTGTGGCTTGGGAGTTCAATAGGAGTCTTAATGGGCTTAAAATCAAGGCGCTGTTATGTGAAAAATCTGTTTTCTTGCTTTTGCCAGCTTCTGGAAGCTGCCTATGTTCTTTGTTTTGTGACTCTTTTCATCTTCAAAGCCAGCTAGAGAAAACATCCTCACAGACACTGACACTAATGTCTGCTTTCCTCCTACACTTATGGTCATTCTAGAGTTGACACTGGATCACCTGAATGATTCAAAATAATCTCTCTATCGTTACTCATATCTGCAAAGTCTCAAAGTGAGTTCCTTTGGGGATATTCTTGTGCCTGCCATAATGGGTTTCTTTGGCCTAGGCCTTCACTCATAGGAGAATGGGAACCATTCTCAGCATTCCTTACAACTATCCTTTGGGAAGCCAACACTTCCACAAGACTCTCCTCTCTCTTGAACCCAAGGGGTGCCTTCTTGTCTCCTTATACCCATGTGTATATATTGTACTGTACTTTATTTATCCTCAAGTATATCATTGTAACTAGATGGTGAGTCACAAAGCCTTACTCATTTTTGCAGCCCTGGAGGCCTCACTATAAAAATTTATGTGATATTTTACTGCATAAAGACCTCAGGTGCAGGCAGAGGCAAGACCAATCAATGTACACTACGTCTATTTGGAATATAACTTATCAACTACTTTTACTTGGTTGTTATTGTGTAATCCACCAGTTCTTAGTCTTTTAACCATCCTATGGAGGTATTAAAACAAATTAAGAATCAACCTTTTGCATCTTGAGACTGTTTCTGGCTTTAATGTGATTTACCATGGATTATACACTATCGTCAATGTTTTAAATGCCCTTCCTGGGCAGGAAAAGGCAAGTGGCAACTCACCTAGTGGGTGAGATGTGAGGGTGTGGAGGTGATAGTATCTGCTTGTCTAGCAAATGAGAGTTCAAACCCTCATTTCACAAAACAAAACAAAAAAAAATGGCTTGACTGGGCTCTTGTGGGTATGGCCTACACTATTTATTTGTGTATGTGGTTACAATATTTATTTACTATTTCAGAATCTGGAAGTTCTTGTGTTTAAAAGAAATGTTAATTTGCAAATTAAGCAAAATGTAAACTGCCAAAAGTATTAAAATTACAAGCCAAAAAAGCAATTGAATAGATTTAAGGGAACACAAGTGGGGAGAGATGTAATTTTAAAGTCAATGATTTGTTATGCATGTCTTGTCAAGAAAGATGCCATTATAGCATAGAAAGACAAATACATGGAAGTAAAACCCCCTTCAACCTAACTCCTGTTGACTAGTAGAGTTATGGGAATATGGACTTCGTAAAGCTAAGGCAAATATGTAAATAGGCTTTTGCTTACATCTCATTGGTTTTCCCAACACCATGAACATATTTGGGATTCTTAGATCCAAAAGAGTCTACAGATCTATATTAAACTCTATATTCCTAAAAGGTAAACTGAGGCCCAGCTGCCTCAGCTATCTGGAAGGCTTAGAGGAATCTCTGCCTACTTCCAGCCTGAGAGACCTCCAGACCTGCTGAATGGCACAAGTTGGCAGTGTAAGCCACACTTTGTGTACAGGACATCATGGTAGGTTTTAAACTTGACACCTTTTATAGAGCACCAGTATATGTGCTGTTTCTCAAGCTTCTCAACGTTCCTATGAATATTTTTAGAAATACATTTAAGAGTAATAAGCATCACCAACCAAACTATTTGGTTCAAAGGGAGAACTGAAGGTCTAAGGTGTAATGGTGCTCAGGTTGTTGCTTTATTTATTTATTTGCTAGTCCCGGGGCTTGAACTCAGGAACCTGGGCACTGTCCCTGAGCTTCTTTTGCTCAAGGCTAGCACTCTACCACTTGAGCCACAGCGCCATTTCCAGCTTTTTTTTCTGTTCATGTGGCACTGAGGAATCAAACCCTGGGCTTCATGCATGCCAGGCAAGCACCCTACCACTAAGCCACATTCCCAGCCTCTCATGTTGTTGATTTTTGCAGCTGTCTGGATCTTCCCAGCCTTTCTTGCTAGTAAATTGGGGCTGGTGAAGCACTGCGTAGAGCACATTTGGGAAATCACTGGGGATCCCAGCTCCAACCACCTAAAGATCCTAAGCAAGCAGGAAAGACTTTCCACAACCCTTTCACCTCAAAGACTTTCCACAACCCAAGAAGCAGCATCATTGGTGCGTCTCTAAAATCTATTGAGAATGAGAACAAGAAGTTTATTTTGAAACAATGGAATCTGCGAAGTAGCACTTAGAGGAATCGGCTTGAGAATTCAACTTTAGTTAGAAGTAGAACTTAGTTCTCATCATTAGTTGAGTCTTATTAGAGCCAAGAGTTGTAACAGTGTGGTTTCCGAACCGATAGTAGAGACTGCAGTAAGACTTACAGACCGTGCTTTCTGCATTCATAAATGTCAGAAGAACTATACTGTTCAATCCTACTCTCCTAAAAGTCTTTCCCATCTTGCGTTTCATCCTGAACAATTTTACTATGTTGTACATAGTAGCGACTGGGAAGGGAAAAAAATGTGTTTCATCTAGAAACAAAAGTGAGAAAACTTGAAAAAAAATTGGCTTCTGCAATGCTAAGTTTCCAAGTTTTTAATTTAAAGCTAAGGCAACATAAAGATATTGCCACTGTACTCAAACTTCCAGCCAAGTGTCCTTAAAAACAATGGCAATTGAACTGGAATCAACGTTCTCCAATGCAAGCAGCTAATAGCCTTACAAGCCATAAGGTTTTGTTTGTTTGGTTTGGTTTTCCTTCTTTCTTTTTGTAGTTCGCTTTATAAATGTGGCAATTCGCATGCTCAAGGCTTTCTCGAGAGCGAGGCAGGTTAATGCTCACGTTTAGAACAAACAGCTTCTGCAAGCGCTTCGCTGGTTAAGCCCACGAAGCAGGTTCCCCCAGCCCAGGCCACGAAGCCACGCGATGTCAACTTGCTACAGTGTCAAATGCGACAAACTCCAGGAGCTCGAGCCCCTGGCCGGGCGGGCGAAGGCTCCGGGCACGCACGCCATCGGGATGAGGCGCCCTCCAGCCCACAACCCGTCCACTGCACCTCCTCCCTGTCCGGGGAAACTGAGGCACCGCCACATGAACCACATCCGGAGCTCGCGAAGGCCACCGGTATTTCCTCCCCGAAGATCGAAGAGGCTCCCGGGCAGGGCGCTGCGGGGGAACGTGCTCCCGGCCCTCCGAAGGTTACCGCGCGAGCCTCGGGAAAGCCGCTGTCCCCAACCCACCAAGCCCCGGCCCCGCGCGGATCCCGAGCATCCGGCGACCCGCCGCGAGCCCCAGGCGAGCACCCCGCGGCGCCTCCCTGCGCGCAGCCTCCGCCGCCGGCTCCGGCCAGCCCCGAGCGCCCGAAAGTTCCGCAGCTCCCGCAGCCGCTCGGCCGCAGAGCCGGCGTGCGGGGCTCCCTCCCACCCGCGCCCCGCCGCCCCGGCTCGCCGGCTGCCCGCACTCACCTGACACCGCTGCGCCACTCCGGTGGTCTCCGGGCACCCCTCGCCATAGCCAGCCCCGGAGCTGCCGCCGCGCCGCGCTCCGCACACCCGGCGCCCGGCAGCGCCCAGCGAGGACCAGCCGCCTCCTCCGGCGCCGGGGCAGCGACGCGGGATGCGCCGCGGGCGGCCGGGAGTGCGGAGCTCCCACCTACGGGCGCCGGGGCCGGCCCGTGGCGAGCATGCCCAGTGCGGCGCTCGGGCGGCGCGGAGCGCGGGGTGTAGCCGCCGGGTTTTCGCAGCAGCCGCGGGCGGAGGCGGGGCGCGAGCCCGAGGGGCGTGGTGGGATCCTGGGTCTCAGAACGCGGGCGCGGTCCTTGCCGGCGCCCGCCCTCGGGGGTGGCGCGTGAAGCCCACCGCGTTCCGACGCTGCTCCGCGGGGACGGCGTGACCGGTCCACGCTGTCGGGCGGGGCTGGGCGGGGCGGGGCGGGGCGCCCGGGCAGCGGCGTTCCCGGCACCCTCCCCGGAGCGCCCCCCGCGCGCCCGTGCTCAAGGACGCCCGGGGGAAGGCGGTCCGCGCGGCGTCCCCGCGCCGGGTCCCCCGGCTCAGCCCTGCCCGCCCCGGCGCGCTGCGGGCTCTTCGGAGGACCGTGTCCTGCAGTTTTCCCTCTTTGCAGTTTCTGCGTGGACGCCAATGGATAGCTAAATCGGGGCGCTTTGCAGACAGGCACAATTACCCTAAAATGGTTAGTTTTCGTGGCGTGAAGGGGATTTTCTGTTTGTGTACAATAGCGAGAAGTCCCTAATAAGGTCAGCTTGCATCGCTTAGTTGTCTGACTAATGCGGTTTTCTTGCGGTCATCGGGTGTCGCGCAGACCACAGTGGTTCCTTTCTTAGGACAAACACGTTGGTGCACGACCTTGCGAGGCCGGCGGCTGGTGAATAAAGCGTCCCGGCCCGGCCGGGCCGTCCGTTCTGAGCTGGCACCCGGCTCCGCCCCTCGGGCTGGTCCCGGCCCGCCCCCCCGGCCACGCCCTGCGCCTGCCCTCCTACTCCAGTCCCTCCCTCTTCGCCGTAGATTGCCAGGAAAACCTGGACAAGTGGATTTTATCCCCCCCCCACTCCCCTTCCAGATGAAGGATCCCGGAGTCTCCTGCAGTCAGACCCGGCACGTTCCGTCCTCCGGGTCAGGCACGGCTGTCAAAAAGATCGGAAACCTTCGGCAACTCTCCGTCCCTCTTCTTTCTCTGTCCCCGGCACACTCAACCAAGTAGGGGGGAGGCTCTGACCGCGAGCGAGCCCCGAGCGGTCCGGACCTGCAGAAGCGGGTCTGGACCCGACTGAGCATGCTCCAGGCAGTGCCAGACTGCCGCACGTGGCTGTCTCTGGTCGCCCAAGGTTGGTGGGACTGCGCTCCCTGGTCACGAGCCCAGTGCTCGGGAGACAGGTTGGCATCTAGGCGGGGAAGCGCTCATCAGCGTGGACGCGGGGCGCAGGGCACCTGCGCGGGGCGGAGGCCCTGCGTGGGGTCGGGCCTCCTGGTGAATGCAAACCCATCTTTCCCATAAATTAGAGATGATACGTTAGCCTTTGGGGGGAGGGGTGGGGGGGGTGTCGCCTCTCGCATGATAATTCGAGCGTTTAGCTCATAGGGCGTCTCATCCCTTATTGTCCTTGAAGAAACCCAATCTTGGAATCTTCCGATCAGATTTTTAAATTTTTCTTTCGGTATTATGGCTTGAACTGAGGGCCTCTGGCTTGGTAAGGCTGGCACTCTACTACTTGAGCTACATCTCCGGCCCTGTATTTTTATTTTTATGTTTTGGCTGAATAGTTTCAAGATAGGATCTTCAGGACTATTCTAGCTTGAACCTCCAGCCTTCACTCAGCCTCCCAGGTAGCTACAATGACAGGTGTGAGCTCAAGAAGCCTTTTTTTTTTTTGCAATTAAATTAAATCTATGTCTTCATTCTCAAAGAATTCAGCAATATTTTTTTCTTAAACATTTCTTCATTTGCTCAGATGCAGTTTCCTCTCTTCCTCTCTTTTAACCTCTATTTTAGAAACACTTGCCTATATGTGAGGAACTTAATTGAATCCTCACTTACAAAAGCCAAGTCTGTAGTGGAGGGAAAAAAATTCAAATTAGTAAACTTAGAGGGGGAGAGGCTTTTTTAAGTTCAGGATCGCTGTGGCTTTCCCTGACAAGTGGAAGGGGGCTGGCTGGCATCTCCATTCTCAGTGTGGTCTGCTGTTCTTGGGGAAGGAGCTCAGTGCAAGTTGCTCTTCATTCCAGCCTTTGACCTTGATCAGCCCTAGCTCAGCTCAGAAGGGCTGGAGTCACCATCTCCACCCCTAGAAAGATAAGTTTACTTATGGCTTCTCCTCCAAATCTTACCTTGAGCTGGGGTCCCTCTCATCCCTCTCTCTACTGAGCTTTTAGATTCCATTCTTGCTGGTAGGACCAAAACACTGCTCTTGAATGTGCCTAGGTCTGGGTCAACACAACACCAAAGACACTCTCACCTGGGACAGGTAGGCACTTCGTGGCCTGAGGCTTTCTGCTCCCCTGATCAACCATGGCATGGAACCTTCTCTGACTTTTGTGACTACTCTTTCGCATCCTCCTCCACACTGTCCTCCTTTGTACTAACCATGATAGATGTTCTCTGGTTGTTCCTGTCTGCTTTCTGCTTTCCTGTGGTCTCTCATTTCTTATGATGATTGTCAGATCCAAGGTAGCACTAATTGCTGTGTGTTCATATGGCTATGTTAGTTGTTTCCTGCTAGACTCTTTTTGGGGGGTCAGGGGTGTCGGTTGTGGGGCTTGAACTCTGGGCCTGGGAGCTGTCCCTGAGCTCTTCAGCTTAAGGCAAGCACTCTACTACTTGAGCCACAGCACCACTTATGGTTTTTCTGGCTAACGGGAGGTAAGAATCTTACAACTTTCCTGCCTGGGCTGGCTTTGAACCTTGATCCTCAGATCTTAGCCTCCTGAGTAGCTAGGATTACAGGCATGAGCCACTGGCGCCCAGATCCTGCTCCTGCTCCTCCTGCTCCAGCTCCTCCTCTTTTGGGATCAAACAGATATCTGTTTGGCATCTTCACTTGTTAATAGTTTATATGTTATCTTTGACCTAGGACATATTTTCCTTTCCACCTCTTTTGGAGATCAGATCGTTGTATGTAACTTACCAAACATCTTAGTCTGTCTCAAATAGAGCTCATGACTAGAAGAGAACAAGGGATGAGATGGCATTTTTTACCTGACTTCTGAGACTGAAACCCTTCTGAATATCCCTTTACAATAACAATTCAAAAAATAATATAGAGCTCAGGCTCTTCTGTTTCTCTAGCTTGATTATTGGAATGTTCATCTGCACATTTGGATATTTCTAAATCCATTCACCTGCCTTTCCTTAATCATCTAGCCGGTCCGCTTGTACCACGCACCATCTGCATGACCCTCTTCAATCCCCATTGTTGTCACCATTAACCACAGCACAATAACCTAAGTGGATCTTCTCTACGGAGTCTCTTCCTATCCAATTTGCCTCACCTCCTCAGATTTTTCTTTCTAAGCAGATTATATGGAATTATATATAATGATTACATATCAAATTGCAAATTCTTAGTAATAGATCTGCTAAGAATCCTTAAGTGAACTCAATATGAAGTGAGCTTAATATTTAAGTATGACCTGGCCTCTGCCTGCCTACCTACATTCGTCTCCAATCAGTGTCTTCTAATATCCCATGTCCTGGTCAATCCAAATCACCAAATCATCTCCGCATATCCGTTTTCTCCTCCCACCACTCCCTTGACTTGTTTACATGCCAAATGTTAAGGCATTGAGAATGATTTCAAATGGGCTATCAGCTGGCCTTCCCAGGATTCCTCACTTACTGTGTCTCCTTGATGGCCTCTGACCTTGATTTCTTGCTTGCATCTCCTCCACTGCACTGTACAAACAAGAGCTTTGGCCATCTTGCTATCTTTCTTCTCAGTGTCAGTAGAGTTTTACTTAATAAATGAATGATAGACTGGCACGACATTTAAAGTGTATTAAGCTTTAAAATGCTCCCTGAGGTCTGTAAATAGATTGCAAAGACAAAGCCAGAGAACACGTCACATTGGATGGAATCGGCTGCCTGGCTAGGCTCATTTGAGGAATGGGAGTGAAGTGTCAGGCTTGACCTCCAGAAACTCAGTGAGTTTTCTTCATCTTCAGAAATCAGGAAGTATTTTGTGAGCCAGTGTGATCTGCTTGTTTGACCTGTAGCTACATGAAGCTCAGCCCAGGATTGCTAATTAGCCTTCAAATTCCATTGTCCTCAATCACTGCATTTCCTTTTGGCATTGTGGTTATAACCTAATTAAGTGGTTACTCCTTAGAGGACATACTTATTTCAACGCATGCCACCCCACGAAGGCAGATGGACCTTTTAGGAAGATCTATCCATTCATGTCATCAGCTAAGTTCTAGAACTAACTATGGCCATAGTGGGAGGGGGTTGGGGGTAGGATGGAAAACAATCACCTGCAGGCCCAGAAACCCATTGCAAGACGTTCACACTAGAGTGGTCCAGGAGACAGGCACTTCATCAAGCCTCTCAACTCTCTCAAATACAGACACAGTATATTTGAGACACAGTTCTCAATCACATGTATTAGAGAAAAATTAATAACTGTTGGCCAAAATTTCAAACAACCTCTATTTTGGTTTTCTTTGATAGGGACACACACACACACACACACACACACACACACACACACACACACACACACACACACACACACACACACACACACACGGGCTCTTAGCTCATTTAAAAATGCCCTGGTTTATATTAGAGAGTCTGAGGAGTCATCTAATAGATTTGCTGGTTTTGCATTGAAGCCACCCATAGACTTTATATGATAATAAAAATGGCCAAGTGCTACTTGCTAGTGCTTTGTTCTTCAGTTGTGTCTTGTTTGGTGGAGAGTGAGTAGGACAGTGGAAATTTTGACCTGTGACCCTTTCTGGAGGCAGAGGGGCAATGAAAGGGAGTAAGATCCTACATGAGGTTTCTTTGCTCCTGGGAGTTAGAAATCACATATTGAGGAAATAAAAACAAATACTTCTCCACTAACTTGTGACTTGCTGGCTGAGAGGAGCAAAGCCGCCAGAAC